GTATGTGTTTTATTTTTATTTGTTTCATATTTCTTATTTCATCCATGTTTTCAATTATTAGACTAAATCTGACAATAGTTTGAAAAAATTGCAGCTTTAGTTTTTAATATTAATTTACAATATGGTCACCCAACACTTAACAATAGCCTCTACCTCAAGAGGTAGAGTAGCCAAATGGCTGGCTCACTGCTGCCAACTAGTGGTCAAGAGGCTGAACTACAAAATAAAAATGAACGGCTGGCAGGAAAGTCGACATTTTAAACCTTAATAAAAAAAATCGATACAGGGCTTTAGAATATCGATACAATATCGGGAAATGAAATATCGCGATATTTCAGTGTATCGATATTTTCTTACACCCCTACCTGCTTCAAAGACAGCGAGCGACATGCATTCCTTCACGGACGGCAAAGGCAAATAAAAATCTGTGCATTGCTGTAAACCTTATATTCCAAGTTCCCCACAGTGGATGTAATGTGCTACAGCTAGCTGCTGCTGCTGCTGTTGTGCTTGAAAATGACCACAGGATAATTTCTCGTTGGTGTTGCTTCAAAGATGGCCACCGTCGGACCAGCCCTTAACTCGTCAGTCCAGTGAGAACTGTTGTCGTAACATTACTCTGAGCTTTGTGAGTCTGCAGGAGAGTTCAGACGCTTGTCGGATGTGTTGGTTTGTTGGATGTCCTGGAGTTTGAACTCATCGGCCTAATCGGTAGTTGACCTTTTGTTCTGGTGTCAAATAATCTCCAGCGATGCTTCTTCTTTTTGCCTTCATTCGGATTCCTGGAATCAAAATTTTCAGAACTTCTTTATTTAAAAAAACAAACAAAAAACTACCTGCCCATGTATCAGTGTCATCATCAACACAAGTTAAACTTCTTTGTTTACAAAAGTCCAGCAGTATCTGTTTCATCACATATGCATGTTGAAAAAGGTGTTTTACCTGCTCTTTGGCATGTCAGACTGCAGCACGGCTCTTTATTGTAAAGAGATGCAACATCGATCAAACCATCTGTTTTTTTTTGTTTTGCTGCACTTTGTTTGCTTTCAGTCACTTTTTAGTTTTTTTTTTCACTGTGCTGTACTGATTTGTGTTGAAAGGATATGGTTCAGTCTCATTCAGATGAGTTGAAACAAAAATAAGGATGTTTGCTTTACGTTTTCAGGAACTAGGCAAAAACGAAAATGAAAAAGTCGTCGTTTTGGTTATCAGAGGTATCTGGTCAGTTTGCTTTTAGTGAGTGGATGTGGGCGTTCACTTTTAGAGGTACGTTTTTTTTAATAATCTATTTGCTGGACACAAACTTATTTTTATGAAGGACTGAAATGGACAAAATCAAGCTTATGTTTAACTTCAGTACAATAATTCCCCTTAAATGTGTGTTTCATTTTTTGGTCTGATTTGACACTAATGACAAACTCGTGTTCGTCACGCTTGTTTGCATCGGTTGTTTCCTTGTTCCCCCTGTGCTTCCGGAAAATTTAGTTCTAGTAAAAATGACAAAAACCAAACCGACACACAAGCAGTCATTATCTGATTAATAGATGAGGGATTTGTATCAAAGCAGCACAACATCAAAAACCTTGTTTCTACTTTGTAAAACTGTATTACTGTATCGTGGAGTTTTTAACTCTGAAAGACAAAAAATCCACAACTTGCATCAAATACTTTCAGAAATATGGCAATGGAAATGCAAATGAATAACTAGGAAACACAAACAAGCAGTTTAGATCAAATATGCAATAATTAAAAATTACATTACAAACTTAAAAATTAGTATGAAGTGAAAATAGAAGAAAAAACATTGTCATATATATATATACTGGAATCTTTTTTTTTTTTTCATTATGAATTGTTTCTTTTTGGGTTTTTACAACTAGGACGTTGGACGGATGAAGATGGAGCTGTTTGCCGATGTCGTTCCAAAGACGGCGGAGAATTTCAGGTAACGTGAGTGTGCGTCACGGTCTGCTGCGTTTTTGTGTGCGACCAGTAACAAAACAGCTCTTAAATATCTCACCAATATTTCCTCACAGGCAATTCTGCACCGGAGAGTTCAGGTAAGTCAGTCAGTGGATGTTTTTTTCTGTTTTTTCCTTCTTTGTTACAAAAAAATGCTGCAAAACACTTCCTGCTTAGCAAACCTGTCACACAGTGATAAATGATCCTCGTGTGCAAATGGTTTATTTTAATTAGTGGTGTCCCTGATACCAGTACAGAGATCTGACTGAACACCAGCATTTTTACTCACACTTATTCAAAATGCCCTGAAACCCGGAGCTGATACCTGAGTCAGTACCGGACTGAATACTCGGTTGAATGTGTTACAGGTAACACCTCAAGTGACAAGTTTGTCAGTTTCATGTTTAAGAAACAAGTTGAAAGAAAAGTATTTATTTTAAAATGTCACTGCAGAATATTACGCTGTATTTGCTGCAGTCAGAGGGGCTGTAGGTCTGCAGTATAAGGAAGAAGAGACACATAAAAAAAAGAATAGTTTTTAGGTTCTGACTCCGTGCATACTCAGTATCAGTACTCTGTATCAGCTAGTACCCAAACTGAAGTACTCGTATTCGGTTTCAGAAAACTGTAATCGGGACAACCCTAATTTAAATAAAATTTAGCAACAAGTCAGATAGAAAATAAAGCTTTGACTTCATGATTCATGTCTATAAACAACACATTTTAAAGAAATACAAAAACACCAAACAGTCTAATATTATAATGATTTGTTGGTTTTATTTTGATCATTAGTTTGTTAAATACAACAGATCTGAGCTGTTATTGGCAGCTGGTTAAAATAAAAAAAACCCATTGGTTAAACATGGGCGGAATGAGGTTGTTTAACAGGTTTAAAGGCCTTCTTAATGAGTTACGGCGTGATGGACTTGTGACCTGTTCCGGGTGTGCCTCTCTTCTCACACACTGACCGAGGAGATAATCACCAACTCCCCCACAACTCTGCACTGACAGAAAATAAAGCGATTATTATTGTAATATGTATTATTTATTATTGTATTCGACCTCAGACACAGTGTGACAAATATGAAGGAATTCTCTCCTGCTGTCCACTGCGTCTCGTAACAAATTCTTCCTGTTCCTAAATGCTGATTCAGTATTTATGCTATTGTTTTTCTGTTTGTGTCCATTTTTTTAGTTTGTTAATCGAATTTTTTTCAATCATAATTAATTTTGCGTACTTTGTGCTATTTTAACCGTTCATATATCCGCATGTTCAACTCTCTCTGGAAACTTTTCTTATTGGCAAGTTCTAGACTTTTTAACAATAATTAACTTTTTTTATATTTTCCCCATATAAATCGGTTTAGATCACTTCATTCGTTAAAAAAATATATTTTCTTTTAATTCTTATACATCATATTTGCTGTATTTTTGTCTGATCCTTTCAGTTCTTAACTAGTGTTCTAATTTCTGTTAGCCTGTTGCTCTTTTTAGTTATTAGCTAACTGTTTGGTGCTATATTAGCTATCGGTTTCGTTAGCTTTTTATTTTGATGCTTTTGTCTTTTTGCTAATGTTTTTCTCTTCTTAGCTTTAATAAGTCAACATCTTTAGCAAACTGTCATTCACTTCCCAACAGTCACACTACATTTTTGCAGAAAATACTGTTTTGTTTTTAGTTTTATTTCTCTTTAGAATAAATCAGATTTCCAAACATAGGTATTAAATGAACAGATTTTTGTTATTCTGTTAACAAATTATCTGTAGTTCACATTTTTTTCTGTCTTTAACTTCTGCTTTGCAGGAAGGATGGTGTTCCCATCGGTTTCAAAGGCTGTACTTTCCACAGGTAAAACGACGTTGCAGAATAATGTAGCTGATGTTTTTAATCTTGAAAAAACAGCAGTAAAGCCACACTTTTATATATTTGAATTCTGTTCATCTGCTCCTTTTTAGAGCTTCTAAGTGTCTCAAACAGGTTGACGAATCAAACGCATGTGATTGAGACTAAAGAGATGTCTTAAAAACCAAAAAGTGAACTGACGGGTTTCGCTGGTTTTACTTCTGACCTCAGTTTGCCTCAGATGGAGGACTGCTGGGAGTCTTGTTCAGTGGTGACGGTAGGACGGGGTGGGAGGTGGATGGATGCCTCATCCTCTGTAACGAGGGCGTTGCTTCGTCGGCCTCAGGGCAGAGCCAGAACCCGCCGAAGGGATTATCCTGTTTGGGCTGGGAACACCTTGGGATCCCCCCGGGAGGAGGTGGAGAGCGTTGCAGGGTTTCCCTCCTGGACCTGTTGCCTCGCGACCTGATGGCACACGAGCAGTGGTGGGAGGAGGGATGGCGAAAGATGCTCGGCACTCCTGTTATTTAAATATCTTGAAATGGGCTGTTACCTGGGGAACACAATAATGAATTTTTTTTCATTACATTTGACTGCAATTTAAGCGAAAACCTCCCCCCAAAAAATGACTCTTAGAAATCTCCCTGATCACAGAACCTTCCACTAACAAGATGGACTGCCTTTGTTCAAAATTGGAAAATATTTAGGACAACTGCTGTGGTTCCAACTCATGATTTTTCTGGGAACTTGACCCTGAAGGTGCTTCATTTTATTATCCGGAGTAAAAGATCTGCAGCACTTAGAACATTACTGGTTAGAGATAATTATGAGACCTGCTTATTGAGTTGAATAGGCTGCAGAACAAGTACGGCTTGTTTGGAGGAGGTTTGTTGATTGACGCCTTTTTAAAAAAAAGTGACAGTACGAGATCATCCAAATATTTTTGTATAAAAAGTGTGCAGGTTTTAGAACAGCACAAGCTCTCATTTAGGAAAAATAAAAACGGTAAAGAGGACAACAAAACCTTCATCAGCTGCTCTCTTCAGTTCCTAGATATTTACAGACGGGGATGCTTCACATCACAGTGGAAAACATGGAGAACATGAATGCTTAGTAACAAACTGAATGAACTGAGTCACTTGCACTCTGCTATATTTACATGCATATTGCGATGATATATGTGCAGCCCTAGTACCAACTCTCAGAATTGAGGTTATAACCTTTACAGGCACAGAGGCACTGGTTCCACTTTGAGCTCCTCTTGCTGCGGTTATTTAGCCTCTTCAATTTGGAATATTCCACAGTGTCGAAGTGACCAAAGCTCCCCACAGAAGGCCACGTGTGAAAAACGAAGCCTGAGTAAATAATTCACTGGTGTGTTTTTGTGTGTGTGTGTGCAGTTTTCTTGTGAGGAAGTGAACACAAATGGTATAATTAAAAGACGGACGATGCATCGGATGAGAGAGACTACATTTACAAAAAGTATTTGAATATTTAAAACATTTCATTTATATACACAGGTTTATATTAGGAAAAAAACACTAAGCAAAGCCAATACTTCCTCTGCTGCTGTTCTGTTTTTTGAATGCTCATTCCTGTAACTATGTGTATCAGGTTGCTGTTGAAAACAACATCAAATGGTCAAGATTCCTGAGTTTTATCGCTTTATTGTTTTTTCTTTTCTTTCTTTTCGTTCATATTTTCTAAAAAAAAAAAAAAAGTAAAGCTGAAGTTGGATCACAGCCTTTAGTTTTGTAACAAAGGAGACTTCTGAGTAAAAGGGCTGTGGCTACGAGGAACAGATATTTGATCTATGATGGCCTCAGCTTTGGAAGCCAGTTTGGTAGCATTTGAACTTGCCAAAAGGAAACGCTTTGTTTGTCATCCTGAGGTAAATGACAGTGTCTTTGTGCATGAGTGCAGCACGCCTTAACAGGAGGGATTCATTAAAAGGTTATAAAACTAAAATGCCTTGTGTTCAGCTGTTCATCTGTTCTTTATGTGCTTTGTGATGCAGACAAACAGTATGATCAGGACTTTTTGTGATTCATTCTAGTGCCTGTAAAATTTATTTGGTACATTGTGTTTGGTAGATTAAGTCTTTGTTGTAAATGCACCAGGCGTTAAATCTTATACCGTTAAAAGGCCTTTTAAATGGTGCCACATTTGTAAGGAACATGCCATCGTGGGATGAGCAGTAGAGCTGAGAATGTGGGTTGCACACATGAGAAAACGGCGAAATCTCTGCAAAACAGCGTATTTTGATGTTGCCAGTCAGGTGTCAGCTACAAGATTTATTGCCAAAAAGTATTTTTATAACTAAAAAAAGTATTTACCAAACGCAATTTTTTTCATTACATTTTGTTATAAGTTTATATTTAACTTCTGTCTTCTCTTATAAAATAGGATTAAAGCAAATGTTTGGATGGTGAGCAACAAATAATAAAAAAAAGACACAAGGCTCAGAATTCTTGTGTGTCCTGAATGTTTTGTGCACATAAAAAAAAATCACCTCATCTTTTATTTTATTTATTTATTTTATTTCCAGGGTGATCAAAGACTTTATGATACAAGGTGGAGACTTTGTGAATGTGAGTATGCACATTTTATTGTATTTATTTATGGTTAGTATTTTTGCTTTATAAAAAAAGCAATGATTTATTCCTTTTTTTTTTTACTTTTAAATTAATGCTCCAATGAAATTAATTACGGTTCATGGTTTCATTTTACATGATGGCGCCAAGTCTGTTTCTTAAAGAATTTTTAGAACTTTGTTTGGTAAAGTCCCAGTTTTGCTTTCTCTCAAACTGTCCTATTTGGCATTGAGGTGAAGTATGTTTGACCTGACATGAAAGTAAGTCAGCTTAAAACACGTTGGACTTTAATGGTACTTCTTTTGTTACTGACATTTCTCTGGAAAGTTAGGTCCATTTGGCTTTCAGGATGCAGTTTAACCTTTACAAGTGAACTTAATGGGACCATTTCTAAACGTCTGAATGCACATCCTTTCAGTGTTTCAATACTTTTTGCACAACTTTCTCTTCTCTAACCTCTAACCATAACGGCAAAACTCCCAGCAGGAGTTTGATCCATAAATCGACCAATACATTTTGATAAATTTGGGACAGCTGTAGCGCAGAGGTAGAGCACCTGATGTGACCAGATGGACCCCCCGTCATGCACTCGTGTGGTGTCCCTGAGCAAGATGATTATTTCTGCTCCACTTTGGTGCATCTCATGTATGATGGGTCCAATGCAGAGCACAAACATCCTCATTAAGAAAGCATGCATTGATGACAATACATAGCACATTATTTCTTGGTTCAATTAGAATTTTTTTAATAGTATTTCTAGTAATGCTGTTCATGTTTTGACAAGACATCTAAAGATTAACAAAACGTGGCCTAATAGCCTGAACTCTTTGTGAGTGTTGTGTTTTTAAATAACAAAAAAGCAAATGCAGAAATCTTGAAATAACTCAACTCTGATAACTGCTTAAAATGCAGAAGTATTTATTCATCTACTTATTAAAGTAAAGACAAATTATTTTAGATTGAGTTTTTAAACTGCATAATGTTTAAAATGTATTTTCATTTCAGAAGTTGATGGGATGTGTCAAGTTATAACAGGAATTGAGCCACCATGACTCATCTATCCATCCAGTTTTTTGTCTTTATTATATTAAGTGTCTTGAAAGTAAAAAAAATAAATGTTTCAGGCGAGTTGCAGGAAACAGTTGTTGTTTGTCTCCCTCTAATGGTTGTACAGAGAATTAGATTTCCTTCACTGAGAGTCTCCTAACTGTCTTCAGGGGGATGGGACCGGTATCTGCAGCATCTACAGAGGTCCGTTTGCAGATGAAAACTTCAAAATGAAGCATTCTGCACCTGGTCTCTTATCAATGGTATGTGTGACCCAGCTTTTACAGACAAGTTCATTTCTGAATACATTTTTAATGAGGTGACCTTTTCCTCAGTTTGTCTTTCTAATCTCTCTCTCTCACAGGCAAACAGTGGACCCGGAACAAATGGCTGCCAGTTTTTTATTACCTGCACCAAATGTGATTGGTTAGATGGGAAGCATGTCGTTTTTGGTAAATGCATCTACAAATTTATTTTGTTGCATTGTAATAATTTCTTTAAAGGGACCCACGATTAGTTGCAACATTAGACTTCATTTGATAAACATATATTTTAATTGTAAAATAAAGACTGTAAAAATAATAGGATGTTTAGTTTAGCAACTTTTTAAAAATATATTTTAACACGGACGGAGCCATTTTATTTACACACAAAGCATTCTGGGTAAATGATGACATGGATAGGTCCTCGGTGCGAGCGAGCTATATATATATATATATATCCACCCTGAAGGTTAATCTTGGACAATATCTGACGATCGACTCTTTTAAATGAAACCAGAGAGCGTTGACAGAGAGGAGAAGGTAGAAATGACTCAGCCTGGAACTGAAAATATGGATGGAGGACAACAGAGCTGCTTCATGGAAGAAGAACCTCAGCTTAGCCTGTTAGCCTTTGTGCTAGCACCAACGCTATATTGCCTTATATGTATTAGCTCAGCGCTAGCATGACAAACAAGCTAAACTGAGGTCCTCCATCCATATTTTCAGTTGCAGCTGAGTCATTTTTGCATTCCCCTCTCTGTCATGTGGATGGAGGACCTCAGTGATGAGAGGAGAATGTGTAGCGCCGAGCTAATACATTTATATGGTGATAGCGTTGGGGCTAACGCTAAAGCTAACAGGCTAAGCTGAGGTTCTTCCATGAAGCAGCTCTGTTGTCCTCCATCCATATTTTCAGTTACAGGCTGAGTCATTTCTACCTTCTCCTCTCTGTCAACGCTCTCTGGTTTCATTTAAGAGTCGATCATCAGATATTGTCCATATTACAGTCAGAATGGGTGACCACACCTCCCCCACCCTCACACTCAGCACCGGCTGCCCACAAGGCTGTGTGCTCTCACCCCTGCTCTTCACCCTGTACACTCATGACTGACTCGCTAAACACAGCACCARCACCATCATCAAGTTTGCTGATGACACTACAGTCATTGGCAATATCTCTAATGATGACGAGGGGGCGTACAGGGAGGAAGTGAAGCTCCTGGCAGAGTGGTGCACCACCAACAACCTCTCCCTCAACACTAGCAAAACCAAGGAGCTGATTGTGGACTTCAGGCGAGGGAGTAGAGCGCACAMACTCCTGAGTATTGAGGGGACATTAGTGGAGAGAGTGGACAGCTTCAGGTTCCTCGGTGTTTATATCTCAGAGGATCTCACCTGGTCACTGAAAATATCCCACATTATCAGGAAAGCCCAACAGCGCCTCCACTTCCTCCGTTGTCTGAAGACGGCTAAACTGCCACAGCAGCTACTCAGCACCTTCTACAGGTCCACTGTGGAGAGTATTCTGAGCAGCTGTCTCACAGTGTGGTATGGGAGTGCCACTGCTGCTGAACACAAGGCTCTGCAGAGAGTAGTGAAGACTGCTCAGTTCATCACTGCAGCTGCCCTCCCACCCATGCAGAACCTCTACAACAAGAGATTTGTGAAGAAAGCCGTCAGTATCTCCTCTGACCCCACCCACCCTAGCCACTTCCTGTTTCAACCCCTGCCGTCTGGAAGAAGGTACAGGATCATCAGAGCCAGAACCACCAGACTCAAGAACAGCTTCTTTCCCTGTGCTGTTAAACTGGTGACCCCAGCTACTCCAGCCACAACCTGAACAATCATAGACTGTCTGTTGTCCACACCTAGTTCACTTCTTACACTCGATTGTGTATTTAATGTTTGTGTCTAATGTTTATGCACATTTTGTCTTGTCTGCACTATGTCCTTTGTTGCTGCACTGGAGATCTAGCTTAAAAGCATTTCGTTGCACAGTACAACCCTGTTTCAGTATAACGACAATAAATTGAATTGAATGTTTATCAAAGTGAAATGTTACAACAAATCCTGGATCCCTTTAAATGGTCACATTCTTTTTTTTTTTTTTCAGGGAAAGTGGTTGATGGGCTGCTAATCATGAGGAAAATAGAGGTAACATTTATTTCAATGATTACATTTTTCCTGTTTTATACATTTATTTTTGGTCCGGAGTAAATTAGAACATTTAACACAAATGTGTAAATTATTTAAATATGTGGAAAAAAATCTAGGTGAACATTTAATATTTATAGAAATTAGACATGATTTCAAGAACCAAACTGCTCACACACACACACACACTAACAGTTTAGTGTCAATTTTTAGTTCATATTTGTTTTAATAACATGAAATGGTCCTGTCCTCCAACTTGTTTGCAGTCCTCATCTTTCTTGTTGGTTGAGCCACTTCACACACACCTATGACTCGTTCAGGCAGTACAAGGTGACATAAAATAATAATGTTTCGTCAACATGACTCATAAGGACGTGGCTGCAAACAAAAGATGGATTAACTCAAGGATGAGGAATCCTGCTGGTCCTGAAAGTTGCATTGCAGTATTTCTTGGAATTCTTATATAATTATTATTATTTTTTTAATATAAATACACTCTTAATCAAAGTTTTAAAACCAGTTCACAATTTGCACTGTTGGATCATTAGAAGGTTCTAAGGTTGTTTTTTTAAAGCCACTTCAGTAGAAAACAAAACTGAATGTTAGTTTCTTAATTTCTGCATCATCAGTGGCCTTTTTTTTACCCTATAGTAAAGAAGAAAAGGAAAAAGTAGAAGAGAAATACAGGTTTCTAAACGCAAAAAAGAAGGAATGGGAGTAAGACAAAGACAAAAAACATCTGAGTATGCATTTTATTGCAAACAAGTATTAAACAGAAAGAGGCTGTTCCATCAGCTGGTCAAAAGTTTAAGAAACTAAAACCAAAACCCCCTAAAATGGAAACAAAATCAGCTTGATGTTAGTGTTTCTAGGAGGCTCGAGGGAAGGTTGCTTCAAGGGGTGAAGATGGCTTCACGGAGGAACTGGTGTCCTTTTTCATAAACGTCCCCTACAGTCCAACCCCAAATGTCCTCAGCTGGATTTAGATCAGGGGGTCACGCAGGATGGTCCAAAAGAGTGATGCTATTCTCTGGAAGAAGTCCTTTGTCAGGCGGGCATTGTGAACTGCAGGATTGCCCTGTTGAAAAACCCAGTCATTACCACACGAGGGTCTTCGGAG